CAGATACTCTACGGATCTTTTTATTGGCCACAGACTATCTGAAAATAAACTTAAGGAAGCCTTAAATATAAGACCTGACTATGAATACGGACATTAAGAATTAAAATCGACAGAAATAATGGGTCTAAAGTATTATTAAACTCCTTAAGCTAAGACTCCATACATACGATGAGCTCCGGCCACAGATGTCTATACTAATGCCCAATTTCTCCACCTCCGGTTAACTTTATCTGTCGGATAAATGTCAACCGTGATTGGTTAATCTTGCCAACCATAAATATGATTGGTGAATTCCAATAGAATAACTGACAGATAAAGTTAGCCGGAGGTGAAGAAATTGGGCATAAATCCGGCTTAACCGCCGTTACGTTAAGACGTATCTGAACAAATTCAGATTTTTAAAATATTGCCTTTTGGAATCTGCCAAGGCCTTATTCACTCATACCTATCTACATAACCCAGCAATCACAATGTTACATGTAACGTATATGTTAGTTGTAATTTCCTACTCAACAATATAACTGTTACATAACATGCATGTTATATGACAGTTATATTGTTGAGTAGGAAATTACAACTAACATGTACGTTACATGTAACATTGTGATTGCTGGGTTATGTAGATAGGTATGAGTGAATAAGGCCTTGGCAGATTCCAAAAGGCAATATTTTAAAAATCTGAATTTGTTCAGATACGTCTTAACGTAACGGCGGTTAAGCCGGATTTATGCCCAATTTCTTCACCTCCGGCTAACTTTATCTGTCAGTTATTCTATTGGAATTCACCAATCATATTTATGGTTGGCAAGATTAACCAATCACGGTTGACATTTATCCGACAGATAAAGTTAACCGGAGGTGGAGAAATTGGGCATTAGTATAGACATCTGTGGCCGGAGCTCATCGTATGTATGGAGTCTTAGCTTAAGGAGTTTAATAATACTTTAGACCCATTATTTCTGTCGATTTTAATTCTTAATGTCCGTATTCATAGTCAGGTCTTATATTTAAGGCTTCCTTAAGTTTATTTTCAGATAGTCTGTGGCCAATAAAAAGATCCGTAGAGTATCTGAAGATGATCTTAAGGAGACCTTAAATATAAGACCTGACTATGAATATGGGAATAAGTCTCCGCTACGAGCCGCCACCGTACACATCGATCAACTGAAATAATTTTGTTGCAGTAGCACGGATACGAACCACAGATACAAAGGTGACCGACAGTACCAGGGGTACTATTCCGTACACGCTTACCGACAACTGTCGTTTTTTATACTATAGAAAAGTACGCAACGATGCCTACCGATCCGACAATTGTCGGTAAGCGTGTACGGAATAGTACCCCAAAGAGAAGTATCCCCTGAGAGCGGCCACCAGCTTGATTTTATCGTTACCACCGCGAAAATGCGCCTAACAAACGTAGTAAAGGCGCACTTTGTTAGATGGCGCCACGAAAATACGCCAAGCTCTGGCCATTGAAATCAGGCTGGTAGCAGTTCTCATGCTTCTCTCTGACGGTACTGAAGTCTATCATAAGTGATACTCGATCCTATAGAGGGCGCATCGAGAAACTTTCTGAGCGAGTATTTCCAATATGGTCGCTCGTAGAGCTTCTTTCCGTTTTCAAACCTAACGAACAACGGATGTTGGAGGACTTTGTATCTTCAATTATTGCGAAACGGCAAATCCGCAAACGTGATGAGTATTATATTTTGCTACTAATAACTTCTTAGGTATGGATTTATTATGAAGAGCTTAAAAGTCAGTCGATTCTTTTCGATGTTTTGAGATAGAATCGACCGACAAAGATATATCTTTCTTACTCGATCGTTCGGCATCTTACTTTCAATATCGTTCATATCTCCGAAAGAAGTACTCTGCATTTTGTTTATATATAAAACGGTATATTTAAATGTTTGATGTACGTTACATTTGTTCCTCTTCCGTGAGATCGTTACTAATCTACGACTTGCATCGCCAGGCTATTAGCGCAACGCTCGTTTTTATGCTTCTACTTGTCTTACTTCTAATGATAGGCTTTCCCCGATGATCTTTCAATTGTCCTATGTTTTTCTTGCTCGTATTGCAATATTAAATAGTCTGATAACAAGTGTCGGAGCGAGGCAACGTGTTCGGTGTCGCGATAATGGCACAATGTTTTCGCGGCGTGCGTAAAGTTCAACAATCAACCAGTGTTGTTTCGTTTAACATATATATTTTCGCTAAAAATACCAATATAATCTCCGATAAACGCTTCTGATAACAAGATTTAATATACACATATATATATATATATTTCTCTCTCTCTTTGTGTTTTAAGACTAATTTAAAATTTTCCTAAGTAGGAATAATTAGACACTATTCATCGTCAACGATGTAACATATTAGGAATAATTAATAGTCAACAATGATGTCACGTGATTCTCGCGGTATGCCTCTGTATTGTGATATTGCTCTTATTTTCGCCTACAAAAAATGCTTCGCGCTTCTACTATTACAACATACCTGTCTTTCTCAATCTAAGTCTGATGTCGATTGAAATTATATTATGTTAAACTATATTATGTGTTTTATCGGACTTGCGGATGCAAGCGAAAGAAAAAAAAAACAGTAAAATTACATGAAGGGATCAGAACAGAGCTTCCTCTATAATATGAACGTTACGTCAAGGGGAAATAAATCGCGGAGACGTGTGCACGTTATTTGTCGGGAGAGGAAAGAATAATATCGATTCTGTGTGAAGTAATCGCGTAACATACGTGATGTCGAGAGAAACAACACGATGGAAGTGAAACGTCACGAAAGATTGAGCGGATTTCGACAATTTCGTAACAAGATCTTCGAGATTTAAGTTGCATGCTAAGTATAATTTCGATTCTTTTTCTGATAGCGTCGTCGGTTTTCCTCTCACCGGGGTTGGTAGATATACATACACACACACACACACACATACATACATACACACTCCTACACGCTCACTACTTGTAAATTGACGATCTCACAATCGAAATTCGATTTCGATTTTGTAAGCGCGCGTGCAAAAATCCGCTTTCGTTCCTCTTATCACCGCTTATCACCTAAGGTATATTTTCGTTTACCCTGCAGAGAGCGTGCACCTTTAGAGAGCGAGTATTACAGTCTCGACGGTAGAAAATGGAACGCATGTATTGGCGCATTATACAATAGTGACTTACTGCTTTACGTATATTACTTTCACTGTGTCAGTGCTTTCGCTACTTTTCTCCCTCGCGGGCCGTTTTCGTCCTTCGCGCCGAAGACGCGGGGTTTCATCGTTCTCCCTCGTCCGAGGGAGGGCAACGTTTCCCTCGAGTTAAGTCTAAGCCTATGGCGACCGACAGATTTGATAGTCTATTTCCGACAGTTGAACGCTCGGAGATTTTTCGTATCTAGAAGGCGTCTTAGAACCATTAAGATATAAACTTTACAAGTCTATCGGAGAGGGGGAGGGAGCGAATCTCTAAGACGGACGAGTGTCGGAGAGAAATTCGCGTCGAAAAAGATCTACGATTTTTCCCATAATACGATGTAATATTATGAGAAGCAGCTCACGACGAGGATGTCGCGACAATCATCGCGATAATCATCGCGACACGGATTACGATATTTCCGGTGATATGTTCGATCACAGTTACTTCGCCGAGAGACACACGCGTCTCCTGTTTAATTTCGATTTTTGCATTTCACTCTCCCGACAGAGAGAGAGAGAGAGAGAGAGACATCAGTGATATAATTTTAATTTGTCCAAGAGGAATTTCATACGCTCATACTGGAGCACCGATCATCGCGACATCCATTCTACTAGGAAAAAAGGAAAAGAAGTTGAATACCGGCCGTACTCGTGTTTCCTAAGTACTCGTATCACCGAGACAAGAAGCTTATAAGCGAGAACGCGCCTTCGACAAGTTGTCTATGGAAAAACTTTCTTTGAATGTGTCTACACGTTACTCGTATACTACTCGTGTAAAGCCCGCTTTAGACGTCACATTTTCGATATGCGCAGCTTTTGCTTCGCAAGAAACTGGGGACCATACTTACGTGTCATACATACACACACACATACATTCACACACTCATACGGAGAGAATTTTATAGCGAAAGTTACTGTAGAATTTTGTGACCAAGTCATACATCGACATTCCGCAGTAATTGACTGTTCTTTCATTGCGTGCGTGCCATTTATTATTTCAAGAACTGAAATGTGCTATTAAAAAATTTGCTATGTTCCTGCTCAAAATGGATTTTACTGACATTCTATTCCTGCATTCTAGAAACATAGTATAAAACTGAAAAGAATTTATACACTCATATATATATTTAGTTATTTATAAACTATAATATTCTTTGAATGTACATGGAGAGAATTTTATAGTAAAAATCACTATAGATTTCTGTGAGGGAAAAATACATTGACATCTTCTGCAGTAATTGACTATTCATTCCGTATGTATGTTATTTATATTTTAGGAATTAAAAATACAATGCAAATTTAAAAAAAATTTGCTATGTTTCTGACAAAATTTACTGTGTTTCTTTCCCCAGCAAGACGGATCTTAATGACAGTCTCTATTCTATTTCTGCGCTACTAAAAACATAGTAAAGTTGTGAAGAATTTACATCAGGAAGCTATAACATTCTCCCCGTTTAGAATGCTTCACCGTTTAGAATGCGTACACTGAGAAAAATTTCTGGTAATAACTATCCAGCCTGTGTTACTACATTTAGTACATGGAAAAAAAGGTTTGGTTGAATTAACCAAATATCTGGTCGAATATGAACTGAAATTCCAGAAATTCCGATTGAAGTAACCCAAATTCTGTTTAAGTCAACCAAAAATCTTGTTAACTTAAACAGAATTCGGATTACTTCAATAGGAATTTCTGGATCGTTCATATTTGACCAGATATTTGGTTAATTCAATCAAACCTTTTTTTCCGTGTAAAATAGCATCAACGAAATATAAGAAGTAAATATTACTATATGAAAGTTAATGTTACTAACAATTTTGTAATTATTACCAAACATTTGGTAACATTTACCACATTGGTTACTATTTACCAAATGGTATGGTAAAACGCACTTGGTAACTATTACCAAACTTCTTTTTTCAGTGTAGGAGAAATGCGTTAATCTAAAGCGGGTGATAAAAAATCGTCAACAACGACCTGCGGCGACGACGACGTCCCGACGTACGTACGTAAATACGCGAGGACGTCGGCGGACGCTTCGGAAAAAGCTTTTCAATCACAGATCGCGCCCCCTGGGATCGCGCGCCGGAGGCTGTCGTATGTCGCGAGATTTCGAGAGTGCTCTTCGCGGCGCGCTAAAAAGTCTACTGTCCGCTACCCGGAAAAAGTGTCTAAGTAAACTTATGGCGGTGACGAGAGCGTTCGGAGAGCGTTCCGTGGACCCCGGACGATGTCGCGATCGGGGGGGTTGGGTCTTCCTCGTCAGCAAGCCGCAAAAGCTGGCCGCTTCGCGCGCGCACGCACGGCCCCCTATTGATAGCTAATATCCTGCGGAGAGATCCGCGCCGTTGTTTCCTTTTCTTTCCCTTTTCTGTTCTTGGTCTTGCCTTCTCGTCGCGGACTGCCGTCGCGCGCGTTCACTTGAAGGAGTTCACTATGTCCACGATACTGACGTAGGTGCCCACCACGAGGCCCAGCAGTCCGAACACGATAAGTAGGATGTTCTTGATCATCATGACTTTGAGGGGGCCGAAGTCGTTGTCCGACCAAAGCACGCATATCTCGATTATCGCCGGGAAGGCGATGCCAAGGGCGGACAGGCAAAGCGCGCCGAACAGGGAGATGAATAGGCCGAGCCGCGGTATGGCGATCGCCAATACAACTGCAACGACACAGAGGCAAGCTCGTTACGGGGGTCCATGAGGACTGTGTGCGAATTCGCCAGGTCGATTGGTTTATTACGAAGTAATTCGTTCGCGATCGGTCCCGCGACAGTGTCGGGTATTAATCGACGAAAAACTTCCCTTTGACTGAAATAATCGGCAAGTCAGTCATCAAAATGAATCAATCGTCATATAATAAGATCACAAATAATTTCATTGATTGACGGCAATTTGATAAATAATTCTGTCTTCTGTGATATAACCAAAGTTCGATTAGTAATGATTTATTAAGTAATCGCGATCAATCAAAGTTTGATTGGCAATCTCTATTAAATAATTATAATCAGAGGTCATATCAGAGGTTGATTAATAATTATTTAATTATTGATCAAACTTTAATGCGCGATTATATAATTTTATTGAACGATTAATTTAATTATGATTTCAGTCGAAGGAAATTTCCATGGATTAACGCCCGACACACTACGCCGCGAGACTTGTTGGCGACGTTTCAATTAGTTCGATTAATGTGCGAGATGTCGTTTCTTGGCTGATATCGCGGCTATCAAGCGCTACTCACACGTGGCCAAGACGACAACGGTCCGACACACGTACTCCCAGAAAAGTTTGCCGCTTCGCACCCGCTGGTCCAAGTAGGTGTTCCACAGAATCTCGACTGGCACGTAGGCCTGCAGGGCGTACGTTATAAATATCGCGATTGCGAACATTATCTTAATGCTCTGCGCCATACTGCAAGAAACAAATACGCGCGTTGCAAGTATCGCCGCGCATCAGAGGCAAACAGATACGTCCGATTCAGGTGAAAAAAGTCCCATCCGACTCTAAATTCAAGTCTGAGGCTCGTATCAACTTGTTACTTGAAACTTCTCCTACGTGAAATATTCAAACACGAATTTAGAGTTAGTTGAGAGTTCTTTTTATTAACTGCTATTCAGTGTTAAATTAGCGTTAAAATTTTTTATCCCTGCGTTGGGCGGATATTTTCATGCGGAAATGGAGGAATCGGGATGTGTTTCAAGCGGTGGTTGTGCGAAAGCAATTTGCGAACCGTGACCCGCACTCGACGGCCTCTCCGCTCGGTTCGTCTTGCCGGTAATTGGGGTGCGATTAACTTCGCTCCACTTACACTTCCTCCTTCGGCAGATTGAAAGTGACGCTTCCTTCGGCCTGATCTCCATACTTAATGTAGCCGAAAAATCCCATCGCTATGTAGAGAATGACGATCACGGTCATTCCGATGTTCAGTACGCCGCAGTAACCGCCAAAGTACTGCGGCGTCTTCATATTGTTCTCCAGTGCGATAATCTGTGCAACAGTAGACAGTCGTCTCTCTTGAATAACGCCGTGAAAGGTGGTAATAATATGAGCGACAAGACGAGTTTGTTCACTTATTTTCGAAGGGATTTGCCGAAGGAGAGAGAACACCACGCTACTACAATTTAATATATATCCTCTCTCTCTCTTTCTTGCTTAAGAAAATTCGAATTATTGAAATTAAGAATCATCAGATTCCAGATTTTTCCTTATCAGAATCGAATATTGCCGCAGAATCGGAAATCAGAACTAGAAATTCTGATGAGGAGAAATTATTATTCTCTATCCGATTAACTAAAAAACGAAGGGATATTTGACAAATTATGAGCCTGGGAACAGTGCCGGGCATTAATTGATGACAATTAGCTTCGACTAAAATAATAGGCAAATCGATAATTGAAATTAATCAATCGTCACGTATAAAAGTGTACAAATAATTTCGACGATCGATAAAATTAATCACTGATTAGCTTAATATATGAATCACATCAAAATTTGATTAATGATTGATTTCATCAATTATTCGTGATGTTATACATGTTATACATGACGATTGACGAATTTTGATTGTTGCTTTGCCGATTATCTTAGTCAGAGAGAATTCCCGTCGCCCAATACTGGCTCGAAAGATACACATACACAACTAATACGAATGATGTACAACGAATACGTTTACTGGGGCCTTTGCATATTACTCCATATGTCGATTTTCATCGTACATACGTGTGTATATACATAGGGAAAACAAAGCAGAAGGTCTCTCCCTTTTTTATCTCTCTCTCTCTCTCTCTCTCTCTCTCTCTCTCTCTCTCT